TCACTGGATCTGTATCCTGTGTCAACTGTATATTCTGTGGCCTGTTTCTCCTCCCATCAAGCTTCTTCCTGTCTCAGGGCCATGGTACATACCTAGTCCTCTATCTTCCTGCTCTTCCCTTCTTCGTTTGGCTAACTCTTTGTCATACTTGCACTTTTTCAGGGGCATGCACCAACCATTATAATTTGGGGGGGGGCAAGGGCATGAGTGGTGGTACTGGGAATTGAACTCAGAGTCTCATGCTTGCCAAGTAAGCAAGCATTCTACCACTTAATCCAGATGACCAGACATTGTAATTAAATGCCAGTGTTTATCATTCCCAGCAATGATGTTGCCCTAAGGCAACATCAGCTCTCAGAAAAATGGTGTTCCATGTGTAAAGAGGTATCTGTGCAGTCACAAGAAAGTCCTGCAAGTGAAGCATTTGGTGTGAGGGAGGGGTTCTCAAGCTTCCTCACCCTCCAAGGTTTCAGAATGACTCACAAGGGGCCATCAGTCCTTCAGAAGGGGAAAGCCGATTCTGTGATTTCATAGCACCCATGCAGGCCCAAGACAACAGGGTTGAAAAGTAAGGTTGGGGTAAACAAGAGGAAGGACAAGTGAGGAAATGCACTTGGATACAATCAGACCAACTAAAATCCAGGTAGCCTTTCCCCCCAGGGACCTCATCTCTTTCTGATTCTCTAGAGTCACTGATCTGTGGCTGGAGGGAGACTGTCCAGTCACAGATGATGTAAGAGCACCCAGACAGATCCAAAGGTCCAAGGTTGATTCAGGCTTTCTCAGACGAAAGGATGTTTTATTACAGAACAGGCCTAGTGTTTTCATGGTCTGCTGACAAACATTTCTAGGGTTGATTTGAGTTGATTTTTATGGCCGTGCCTTCCCACTCCACCACAATTTCTCTATCTGTAAACACTCTCTCAGCTGTGTAATGCACAACAAGGCACCACAGATACAATTCCAGATTTTAGTAGCATGGGGCCAAACCCGTAATGGTCCTGCCAAGCTAAACACGCACACACACACACACACACACACACACATACACGGGGCAGAGTGTAGCTTTTTGAGACTGAGGCAAGGGGATTAGATTCATTTAAAAGTATTAGAAGTTGTGTGTGATGGATCAGGCCTGTAATTCCAGCTTCTTGGGAGGTAAAGATTGGGAGGATCGTGATTCAAGGCCAGCCCTAGCAAAAAGTTATCAAGACCTCATCTCAATCAATAAGTTATGTGTGTTGGTTCATAACTGTAATCCCAGCTATCTGGGAGGCATAGACGGGAGGATCAAGGTCTGAGGCTGAACCTGGTGGTGGGGGGACCCACAAGAACATATCTGAAAAATAACTAAAGCAAAAAAGGGCTGGGCGAGTGGCTCAAGTGGTAGAGTGCCTGCCTAGCTAGTATGAGGGCCTAAGTTCAACCCTCCCCAGTAACACACCCCTCCCAAAAAAGTATCAGGATAGAAATTCAGAAGATTTTAGCAGGACCAACATGTAAAAGAAATCCTCATTGATGGAATTAGTACCTGAAAGAGGTATAAACAAGCTGTCATTCATAACTTTGAAAGAAATGTTAAATGACTTAAAATTCACTTTCCGTGATGCACATTTAAACAGCACAGAGCTATAGTTCTCAAAATTCACCTCCTAGACCCACAGCATCACCTGGAACTTGGATATGCAGATTCTCAGGCCCTGCCTCACACTCCTGACTCAGAACCACTGAGCACTCTATGTTTGAACAAGTCCTCCAGGTGGGTCTGGCACACAGTAACACCTGAGAATGGCTGACAAGAAGGAGCAGAGGTGAAGAGAGGCAGCAGGAAGCAGAGCAAGGCTCCATGTGGAAGTGGTGAGTTTGCCAGGGAGACAAAGCTATGGCTAAAACACCAAGCATAGGACAAGTGGAACCAACACCACTGGACTGTGGACGAGAAAGAAGGAACTCTAAAAGGTGTGACTTAGTGGCAAGAAAAGAGGACCAGTAGGCTCCATGAAAGCCACAATAAGGGAAATTAGCTAAAGGAAAATTCCTCACCAGTAGATAGTCTTGGCCTGAGTTGTCAATGGCTCTTAGAGTTTACTTCAGGAAGACTCTCCGCCAAGCAAGTGTGAGGCCTGAGTTTAAGCCCCTGTATCACAAAAATAAGAAGGAGGAGAATCCTCAAGAGGATTCTTTTGGCAGGAGGGGAAGAGGGTGATGCTCCAGTTGTTCCCGATTTGGGCAACAAGAGCTTGATCAACCTGGCTATTACAGCCTTTTGCCATGTTCCCATCAGTTATTTAGCATGTGCTTACTTTCTGGAACAAGGTGTTCCAGGCCTACCTTGTGCTTTCTCCAGCCCATCCCTGGATTCTGTCTTTTCTCCAAGGAGTACTGGGTCCTTTTGCTGGAGACTAAGATGTGCCAGTATGTGCTCACTGCTAAAATGGACACAGCAGGCACAAACAAGCACCCAAAAGCCCACATACATTCCTAGGTGCCCACATACAGACATGTGCATACATGCATGCACACGCACACACAAGGCACATGCACACATGCATGCTTAGTCACTGTAACTACACAGGACACCTTGAATGCCAATTCTATTCCAGCACAATTGGGAAAAATATCTTCCTCCAGCAGTGAGAAACATGGACTTAGTTTAATTTCCTCATGAATGACACCTGGTTCCTACTGATTATCAAGAAAAAAAGAAGTGATAGCAATGACTTAGACCTTTACCCGCAGTGTGAACAGCATAGACAGACTTGGAGAAAAAAAAAAAATCTCCCGATGAAGAACGATCCCTTATTTATCCAGGATCTGACCAGCCTCACTTTTCATTTTAAATCAGTGGTTTCCCATTGTGGGCAAAGCATGCTTACAAGTGAGTTCTTTCCAGTTTGGTTCACACCTCCGCTGTGGTTCACAGCAGAGTCAATAACAGCAGTGTCGGGATGCTGGGCTGGAAGGAGCACTGTCACTGTGAATTGAAGGTAAGAGGAGTACGTGGAGCCAACACCACAGGAAACTGCACATCTATTAAAACACATGAGAACTTTGAGTCTAATTATGCATGTGATAAACTGTTCCAGCACATATCACTAAAGGAAGCCAAAGGAATCACAGAGTATCACTGAATCAAGTGGGATTCATGATGCCAGTGACAATATAACTATTGCTGAAATGACACTATTGCTATGAAGATTTAGCTCAAAATTTTTTTTGTGGTCTTGGGATTTGAACTTAGGGCTTTACACTTGTTAGACTGGTGCTTATACCACTTAAGCCACACCTCCAGCTGCTTTGATGATTTAAATCCCTTCACGTGCTCAGTCACAATGTTTTATCGCAAAGTGTACTACAAACACTACAAGTTGAAAAACCCTGGAAGGGAATATTTCAATACTTAGAAGAATGGGGGGAAGGGGTAAAGTAGAATTATGGAGTGGGTGAATTCAACCATGATATTTTGCAAGCACTTATGTAAATGTCATAGTGTACCCCCTGTACAACAATAACATGATAATAAAAAATTTTTCCTAAAAAGACTTAGAAGTTGATGTTTTACAACAACTGGCTGCTAAAACTCCCCAGTCCAAAAACAACACAGAAAACAATGAAGACTGACAAAAGATGACCCAGGAAAGATCAGCAGATTCAGAACAGAGTCATTTGAAATTAAAGATGGTTGGAAATATTGAACTTGTGATCTATGGAATGAGGAAAGTACAACAAAAAATTCGACAAAAAATAAGACAACTCCCAAATGGAAATGGCCAATATTTCAGTTCCTCCTTTTCCTGTTAGGCTCTTAGATATTAACTTATAAAACTCATTTCCACAGAGCAAGGCTTGTGTACCACCGCCAGAATATTTAGCTGGAATTTTGCAAATTTGAGTCCAATTCCAGTTATAATGAAAACCGATCTCCCTGGGGCTGTCCATCTTGCTCCTGGTTGCAAATGTAAGAATAATCAAATCAGTTAGCTACACATGTAGAAACAAAACAAATTGAACTCATTTGCAGACTCAAGCCTATTATTGAAGAAGAGAGTTCACACATTCATTCCTAACAAATATTTCTCATCTACCTACTATTGTTAGGTCCAGTGTCACACTCACGAATACAATTGTTGAGCAAAATAGACATGACCCTACACTCGCCTAGTTCAGAGTACAGGTACAAAATGTACATTAATTATATGACCTCAATATCTTAAATACAAACTGGGAAAGAGGCTGGTGAGGGAAAAAACACAGAATGCTGGCTTAGTGGGTAGGTGAGGCAGGCTTTCCTGAGGAGGTGACATTGCAGTCAGTGAAGAAGGATGGGCAAGTAGTCAGCCAAGTGTGAGGTGGTGGGTTTTGTGTGGAGGTAGGGATCGGCTTGGTGAGTGCCACAGGGGAACGAAAGTCTGAGTGGCCAGGGGAAGAGAACTAGAGGGGAAGAGATTGAGAGGTGACAAACAGGGCTGGGTTTGGCAGAGTTTTGAAGAGTCTTAGGGATTTCAGCTTTTGTTCTAAGCACAGCAAGTAGCCAGGGAAGACTGAATTTATTTTGCGGTGCTGGGGATCAAACTTGGGGTCTTGTGCATGCTATGCAAATGCTCTACCACTGAGCTATATTGCCAGCCCAAGACTAAAGTTATCAAGTTTGCATTCCTAAAGATTATGCTTTGCCTTAAGAAAATAGATCAAAGGCTGGAGGTGGGGGGTTGTGAGCTTAGAGATGGATGAGTGAGGGAGGGAGGTTCCTTGATGACTCCCCAGTGTCTAACTATACTGGGTGGCTGGCATTTAAGGCAAGCTCCTGGATGACTTGAAGATGGTAAGTACCCTTCCTGACCACCTTCCACGTGCTTGGAGCCTGGAGTTTATTATCCTAAGGGATGCTGGGATAAGCTATACCCTAGCTCTAGTTACTCACTGCTGCTCAATGGACCCCTGGAGAATACCTCTTAACAAGCTGAAGCCTTCTCATCTCTCCCCTCTCATACGCTTTGCAGGTACTACATGCCCGACACCCACCTCTGTGGAACATGCAGACATCCGGGTCAAGAGTTACAACGTGAACTCCAGGGAGAGGTATGTTTGTAACTCTGGTTTCAAACGGAAAGCCGGCACATCCAGCCTGATTCAGTGTGTGCTTAATGAAACCACAAACATCGCCCACTGGACAACTCCCAATCTCAAGTGCATCCGTAAGTAACTGGTCCCCACAGTGTCCTCCATCCTTGCCCAGCCTAAACAGAGAGTCGAGCTGCAATATGGGAGCTAGATAAGCCCAAGAGATCTGTGTGGAGGTCTGAGGCTAAATATAACAGTGGAACTCTAAGTAACACCTCCTGAGGTAGAAGTATGTGGACATGGCAGGGAGGTGTCACACAATTCCAGGTCACATCCTGATTCTGCCACTAACCTCTCTGTAGTCGGGTTGGTCAACCAGAAAATGAACATGAAGTCAACACTGTGGGTTATAGGAGGATTAAGTGGAGCCTGGTAAATATTAACCATTACTATCACAACACTTGTTTTAAGATGATTGGCTATGACAACGGTGTGTGATCACAAGCATGCCTGCTTCCCAGAGAGCTTGCGGGTTTTCTCACAAGGAGGCTCACTGCTGAGAAATGGTCACTGTTTTTGTCTGTTGGTACCCAATTCAGGGACCTAGGTAGACCCACAGAGCTGAGTTTACCTTGGCTTAGTCACCTGTGAATAGTGTCCACCTAACTCTCAAAAGCAAGGATGAGGAAGATTGCAAGAATCAACTTTTTTTCTTATCATCCATAACTAGATAACCATCCCAGAAAAGCTAAACTATCTTGGAGTGGAAGTCACTCAGTGCTATTTCCAGGGACAGTAAGTTCTGTTCTGCTCCTTTCTTCCTTTCTCTAGAAAAAATAAGGATTATCCTGTAGTCTTCTGAGAGAGTTCTGATTAACAAGAATTCATTGTGTACTCTGGACGTATCCAGCGGCAGCTAGATTCATCCTCATAGAACATTTGCAAAGACACCCGACTTCTCTAAGGGACATATCTCATGACATATGTAGCGTTAGATCACCCCTTCCCCCAGCCTGTCGGGGAAGAGAGAGTTATATGGACATCAGAGGGAAGAGAAGCAGTGAGCCTTGCCAGTTGTCTCAAGGAATTACAGGGCTGGGCATTACAGCAACCTGTAGCTTCGAGTCAGTTGAAAGGAAAAACCCAGTAAGGCTAAGAATAAGCAGTGACTATGGAAACCAGAAGTAGAAATCAGGGCTTTTCCACTATTGGGAAAGATGTGTTTTTTTCAAATCTGTACATCCTGTGAGTGAATGACTATAGAATGGGAAAAATGCAGGGTCTGAACAGGGCCAGGACAGGGAGGGAAGAAAGAACTTAGAAACAACTATTTAGAGCCTACAGACTGCAGGAATCTTTAGGTTTCATCTGGTGCAGTTCCACTCCCTGACCATTTTACCACTAGCAACTCCCTTCATTACCTTCTCCAGTCTCTTATGCGCTCAACGATTCCTAAACAACTGAAATCTATAGAGGGATCATTTATTTTCCTGTGAAACCCCAGGGTTATAAAACTGAGTTGCTATCATCAATATCATTCCAGCCAGAAACAGAAGAGATTAGATGCCTAACCCGTGCAATCTTTTTGAAAATGCTAGAAAAGTAGTTTACAGGAGCTGGAGTTGTGGCTCAAGCGGTAGACCACCCACCTAGCAAGCATGAAGCCCTGAGTTCAAACCCTAGTACCACCAAACAAAAAGAGTAGTTCACACTCTGTCTTTACATTTCCCATGTTTCTAACCTGCCCTAGAAAGCCAGCTATCTCCAATATAAATTTATGTATTGATTTTTTATTTATATCCAGTTCTGACTCCACCCCAGGTCGCACACTTAGTATCATAAATGCCATATGGTTATCCTCTTTCTAGGAGACCCCTCCCTGACTCACCAAAGGCCAGTGCCACCCTCCACAGTAGTGACTACAAGGGTGACCCCAACTTCAGAGAGCCCCTTCCCTTCTGGAAAAGGTAGGAATGTTGGAAACTTTTAAGGACCTAGATCCCTCCTCCCCAACCAATGTGTGGACCACTGCTGATGTTCCACATAAAACTTAGGTAATAGGACAAACTTTTTACTAAAATGAAGAATTAGAACTTTAGAGTGGCTGAAATTTTTTAAATCAAAGTTACTTGATATCTAGACTTCATATGTGTATACTTCATAGTAGTTTGGAATTCACTAGTAATATGTCAGACCATATTTAGTTGTAGACACTTATCCTTGTCAAGAACTGGGAAAGAACTGAGATTTAACCTTGCTTGCTTGTTAACCTACCTCACTGTCATAGGTGCTGGCACTCCTGGAGGGGAGACAAAGGGCTTTCATACGTAGCACACAGCAGCAGGAACATCAGTGTGTTTACATCAATCCCCGGCCCCCCAGACCCATAGGGGCAAGAGGGGTGTGCTTGACTAGATGCCTCCGTGTTCAGCATGCTGAACCCCAAGGGAGGAAGCCTGGGCTCAGGGAACCAGAATGTTTTGTAACAGGCAGCAAACATGTCTGCACTTTGCTCCAGAGAGGGACACTGTCTTCATAGTTCAGAGAAAAATCCATGAGGCTGTCTGTCGGCAAGATGTACAGAAATGTAAAGGACCCATGGAGAGTGGTCTCCCCCAGTCCTCATCATTAGCAAATTAACATCAATGCTCTATTCTAGAAGCATTGGGAGGAGTCACCAATGTTCTGTATTTCAACTGTGTCTTCTAGCTCAATGTCCTCAGCACTTTCTCAAGAAAAAATTTGAAATCGTGAATGCTCAATGTCTTAGAATAATATGTTCTCCAGCCTATATCCTATGATACCCCTGTTTTACATTTAATTCTTTTTTTTCAGAACTGGGGTGGGTTTGGACTCAGGGCTTTGTGCTTGCTAGTCAGGTGCCCTACTGCTTGAGCCATGCTTCCAGCCCTTTTAGCCCTTTTATTTTCAAGATAGAGTCTTGCTTGACCCAGTCTGGACTGCAACCCTCCTATTTTTTGTTTCCTGCCATAGCTGGGATAGCAGACACATACCACCAGGCCCAGTTTTTTCTGTTGAGATGGAGGTCTTACAAGCTGTTTTTGCTCATGCTGGCCTTGAACGTGATCCTCTCAAATCTCCACTCCTGAGTAGCTGGGATTACAGCCTTGAGCCATTGTGCCTAACTAATTCTTGTTTTTTGAACTCAGGACCTCAAGCTTGCTAGCTAGATGTTCTACCACTTGAGCCACTCCACCAGACCTTTAATTCTTGTTTTTTAAGTGTCACAGCATCCAGTTGTGGCTTTCCCTGGCCCTTTGTCTCCTTCATCCCTGTCCCCTATATGTGGGCAACTGTATTTCCTATTTCCATTCATTCTGTCCTGCTCGATCACACTTTTTCCCTGAGCACTGGTTGTCAGCCGTAGATACAGAATGACAGCACAAGAAATGCCAATTGGTCTGGGGAGTGACCTGGGAATCAGGGGCTCTAGAAGTTTCCCCAAGTGGTTCTTAGGTTCTAAGGACCACTACTCCAAGGAGGACAGAGGGGCTAAAAAAAAAAAAAAAAAGATGTCTGAGTTTGACACCAGTCTGAGCAACATAGTAAGACTGTCTCAAAAGATAAAATTTCCCTTGGTGAGTAGGTTGCTTGCAAACAGAAGTAAGGAGTTTTGATACTGGCTCCACTTAACTGTTGACTGGTTCAGATGAGGCTGACCAAGTAGCCTCTCCCAGCTCTACCTTCATGTCCCAAACACTTGGTCAGATTTCCATTGCTGAAGCAAACTTGCGCAGTCAAAACCGCAGACGTGGGAGAGTAACCTTTGACATAGCTGGTATGACAATGGGCAGCTGGATGCAAACGCTCTGGGGAGCGTCGTCTTCAGTGAATTGCTGGCAGCTTAGTGGGAAAGGTGCTTGTGAGGCAGTGGCAAAGGACTGAAGGGTCTGAGGACTTCTCACTACACACATGGCTAGAAAAGCTTGAGAACATGGGCCACAATTTGCCTCCAGAGGACCGTCACACCTGGTCTCATACTGTACTTAGTTACAGGGCTTTATTTCCTGGGTTCCATATTCATCACAGTAAACGACCCATTTTTCACTTATAGGGAACTGTCAACAGTTATACCATATCTTATAGTTTAAGGGTGACCGTCTACCAGTGAAGGACAAGGAAGACAGGGACTTGAACACAGAAAGCCTCTGCTTCTGAAATCAGAGCTAACTCTGGATACTTTCCTCAGATACATCCCAAAGAGTTCAGGCTTCCTCTTACTTCAGTAACATTGTGCCAACATGTAAAAACCAGGTGGGCATGGTGGTTCATACTTATAATCCCATCACTCAGGAAGTTGAAGCAGGAGGAACATGAGTTCTAGGTCAGTTTGTCCTACATATTGAGTTCAAGGCTAGCATGAGGTACATAGGAAGAATTTGCTTTGAAAAAAGGAAAGAAAAGAAGGAAGGAAGGAAAGCAGGAAGGAATGCAGGAAGGAAGGAAGGAAAGGAGGAGGGAGGGAGTAAGGAAGGAAAGAAGGGAGGGAGGGAGGGAGGAAGGGAGGGAGGGAGGGAGGAAGGAAGGGAGGGAGGGAGGGAGGAAAGGAAGGGATACATATGTAAGTAAAATTGAAAATCCCAGCTGGCATATAAACTTCCATTTGTGTTTTGGTGCCAAATCTTCCAGTGTTTAACATGCCTTCCCCAGGACGCAGCCATTTCTGTCAAAGCTTTGGGAACTTTTCTTTATATGCACCATGAAAAATAAGACAGTACATGGGCCAAGTCCCATGGCCAGGGATGGCTCTGTCATCCACGTAAAGGACAATTTGCTGGGAGCAAGCTCACTACAGTAGGTCCTACTCTGCTACAGTTGAGAAGACACTAGTCTGAATATTTATGTTCTCCCTGTCTTGGAATTTCCTACAGAGCCAACAGCTTTATTTCCCAAGTCAGACACCACAGTGGCCACAGAGACAGCTATTATACCGGGCACCCAGCTGACACCATCCCAGCCAGCTTCTGCAGGAACCACAGGGATAGGCAGTCATGAGTCCTCCCAGACCCCATCTCAGACAACAGCAAGGGTTCTGGAATCCACGCCTTTCACCTCCCACGAGATAACAGGTTAGCCCAAGCCTTGCAGGAGAGGCCAGGTTCCCATGTGATGCTTCTGACTTATATTGAGAGCTGGAGGCAGATGATGCCATACGTTTGTACCATTCAATCCCAAACTGGGACTTGAGCCACACTGCTGCTTTCTTCTTTCTGCCTGCCATAGCTTTCTTGCCTGGTGTCTGTTGTTTGTGTTGGTTTGGTCCAGATGGGACAGTTGGGAATGAAAAGCACCTCCCAGATGTGACATGGCTAACCTTATTAACCTGCCTGTGCTAGGACTCTGAATGCCACCTGCACTTTTGCACTGTGGGAGCATGGTGGGAGCTGTCTAAAATCCAGAGCCATTGTCTGTGTGGTGGAAGAGCACCTGGACATCTGGCCCTTCTCTAAGGCATGACCAATTCTTAGGTATAGCCCAGCATCTCAGCGAATTACCTTGCTTGTTCCTTGCTACGATGAGTTTGGTTATGGGTATCTTCTAAGGTCCTAAGATGGGAGCCAAGCTGTCCATTATTTTTCCAGCTTCATGAGAAGCTAGTGCTTCTAGGACTGACTAAGCTGTCCTCTTTCCTTTTCAGGTGTCCATCCATACAGCTCCAAACAGGCCATTGGTAAGTACTTTCTTTTGTCCAGTGTGTTTATGATCACAGTGACTGCAGACACAATGTGCTCAGCAGCCCTGGTCCAGGCCACTCTGGCATGATTGTTGCCAGCATCCCCTTTCCCTTTCAGCAATGGCCCCATAAGATAATAAGTTACATAACACTCTGTTGACTGAATTCTTCATTTGGCATGACTATTTATCTTAATATTGGTTAAGTTAACCTAATATTAACCTAATAGCTGTTAGGTTAATGATGTTTAAACCAGAGAGTTAATGTACCACAAAAAGTCCTTATGGTTTAACCCTACTCACAGTTCTACCCAGCTAGCCACCACTTATGGCCAGGGCATTCAGAAACCACAGATTCCTGATGCTGCCACTAAGATGAAGTCATTCTTCTGCCAGAAGCTGCATGGACCTCCCCAAAGGTGGTACACAGTGCACTGCACAGCCCTGTCCAGATTTCTCAGAACAAAATGCTTCTTTTTATAGAAGACATGCTGCATTAAGGCTTGGAGAGAATGTGAAAGTGAATATAAGGAGGAAAAGGAAAAATTGTTTGCAAAAGAAAGAAAAAGATGAAGGGAAGAGAGTACAGCTCAGAGAAGAGAGAAAAGAGCAAGAGAAAGAAGGGAGGGCCAGGGATGTAGCTCAGTGGTAGAGCACTTGTCTAGCATGTGCAAGGCCCTGAGTTCAGTCCCCAGTACTGCAAAAAAAAAAAAAACAAAAGAAAGAAAGAAAAGAAAAAGGCAGGGAGACAGACATGCAGGTCATGAGATAGTGAGAAAGAATCTGATACCTTACAATTACAATTTGATACAGACAAAAATTATTTCTATTTTCTATTCAGAAGTTTTTCTGCTAGAGAATGGTTCAAATTGGTCCCACTTTACTTACAGCAAGTGTTATCTGGGGGGGAAAAGTGGCTTTGGACAGATTTACAGTTGGTTGCTTAGAATGGTTTTATTTATTTATTTATTTATTATTTATTGTAGTCCTGGGGTCTGAACTCTGGGCCTCATGCCTGCTAGGCAGATGCTCTCCCACTTAAGACATTCTACCAGTCCTAGAATTTTTTTTTTTAATAATCAAAACATCTATGCAAAGGCAAGAGTTTTGTTTAGGTGGCTTTTTTTTTTTTAAAGAGGATTAAAGCCAGAGCCTCATAGTTGCTAGTCAAATGCTCTACTATTTGAGCCACACCCCCAGTCCTGCAAGACATTTTAGAAAAGTTCTTTGGGGACTATTTTCATTAAAAAAAAAAAACTGGCATTTAATGACAAGAACACAAAAATGATAACAAAAATATGTTCACAGTTTGAAAGAAGAATAGTAGATAGGTAGCCTAACTATTTTTTCCCTAAGTCACTTAAGGAGAATCTTTCCACATTGGTTTACAAAAATATTATCAATTTTGCACTTGGTCTAAAAATCAGCTTACTAAAGGATCTATGGTAAAAATAAAGTCGCATTTCTTCCCCAACTGTCCTCAGAGCAAGGAAGCAGATTTCTGTGCATTCCTCCAGATAGGTTGTGTAAAAACAAACACTGAGACGGAAATGTGACACCACCTTGAGCTTTTCACTCAGTGGACTACCTTGGAGACCCTTCATACTAGCACGGGAAAACTACCTCTGTTCTCTTTAATGGCTACTGAATATTCTATTGTGTGGAAGTGCCCACAATTTACTTAGCCAATGATTGCTCACATTCTTTAGTTACATTACAAACCAAACAGCAACTGAAAACCCATGGGTTCAAGAACATCTGTAGGATAAAGTCCTACAGTAAGATTCCCTACACAGATCTTCAATTATTTGATTGCAGGCTGTAATTTATCATGTGTGTTTTCCAGTTCATGACTTTCACTAGATTAAGTAAGGATAAAGTCCTACAGTAAGATTCCCTACACAGATCTTCAATTATTTGATTGCAGGCTGTAATTTATCATCGTGTTTTCCAGTTCATGACTTTCACTAGATTAAGTATCAAAACTTCTCTCTCAACATCTGAACTACAATCCAATAAACATTAACTGTAGGCAGAGGGGGGTAGGCCAAGTGGTAGAGTCCTTGTCTAGCAAGTGCTAGTCCTCGAGTTCAAATCCCAGCACTGCCCAAAGCTATGTATAAATAGCTGAACACCTACAATGGACAAAGATAGTTCTGTGCAAGGCATTATGGAAATACAGAGATTTTTTAAAAATAAAATCTTTCATGTACGAATAAGCTTTCCCCTCCTTCAGGCTGCTTAAAGATAGATGTAAACATACCTATAAACAACGGAGAACAGATCATCAGCAAAGAGATCAAAATGAGACCTTAGTTCTGTCTTCCGATAAGTTGTAAATTAAAGCTTAAATCATGCTTGCTTTGCAAAAGCACTTAGTGACGAAGCTTTCCATGTATGTCACATACCACCCATCTCAGTCACCTGAGAACTGACAGCACTACTGTTCTTACAGTGGCAGATACTCACTGGCTCCTTGGGCATCAGGGAAGTTGCTTTTCCTGCGTGAATAAGCAATCATTGAGCTCATTTCTGTAAGAAAATGTTAATAATTCTTGGCCATTGTGATTACTCAGTGAAGTAGCTGATTTTTGACAGTACTGAGGTTTGAACTCAGGACCTTACGCTTGCTAGGCAAGAGTTCTACCACTTGAGCCATGCCCCCAACCCTTTTTGCTTTAGTTATTATTCAGATTTTGCCCAGGGAAACCTCAAACTGAGATCCTCCTAACTACCTCCCAAGTAGCTGGAATTATGGGCATATGCCACCACACCTAGCTCTTTGGTGATGTTAACCAACCTATTAATATTACCAACATCGTAATTTGTTTTTTAAATAAGTTACATAAACTATTATCACTGCTTTTAAGTGTTGCCCTTTTTAATTCAGCAGAAAATGGTAAAAAATGAATGCTCAATAAATACTGAGTGAGGAAATGGATAGGTGAGTTTGAGGACTAACATTTTAATATATAGCTAAGAAGTGTTATTTATACTTCCATTGTCTTCAATACCTACTGGCTCCTTCCTGTCAATAACTTTATTCAATTATCCCAATATCTCATCTCTGATCCCTAACTAGGCTGTTCTTGAAGACTCCTGATTGTATGATGCAAGACTAGCATGCCAGCTATGACAGCATTTACACTGCCATACCCATTGAGTCCACTAGGAGAGACTCAAAATAAATTAATAAATTAATTAAGATCGTACTGTATAGCAGGTATGGTACTAAGCTAGAGTGAAATGCAGATTTCTCATTAAAAAAATCAGATGTCATTTTAAATAGACTTCAATCTATGGAATTTTAAAGGTTAAACTTACACAATTGTTTACTGAGTATCAAGTCTGAACCCAGTCTTATTATGTGTCTAGTACAATAAGAGAGAGAAAGGAAACAATAGGCCAGGAATAATGAATCAGTGCTCTTCCTCCTCTGATGCAGACACATAGTACGATGCTCACAGTGACATCAGAACTGCTCCCCGAAGACCGACCCAGTTTGCCAGGGTCCTGCTAAGGAATGACTGTTCACTCTGTATTCACCAATGACATTTTCACCATCCACACTGAATACTGGCTCCAGCTGTCCACTGCCTTTGCATCTTAGACCCCATCTGCACTGTGGGCTGGAGTTGGGGGAAGAGGGTATGGACACTGACCCTTTGGGCCTCGGGTACAATAATCAGCTTTTTCTCTTTCTTCTCTTTCCTCACCTCTTCTCCTTTTTCTCACCAAATTTCATTTTCTTCCTTTCTCCCAATTCCACACCTTCCAGAAAACACAAAAGGGTGGAGAACTTGGCAGGCCATCTGTTCATTCATTGTATCTGTATCCTGGACCCAATTTCTTTACTAACTTTGCCTGGCAGTAATTGAAAAAGAGACTCAGGGTCTGGGATTAAGGCACTGAATTCAAGTTATTCTGTGTTATCCTTGACCCAGGAGTCCTCCTCTCTCCTGAGTTTTTATTCTCATTCACAAGGAGACAGGAAAAAGCATTACGAAAGTAAAACTACAGTTTATATCAACTTGCCTTTTCCAATAAATTGCTCCACAAACAGTAAGTGCATGGAGCCTATCAGTCAGTGTGGAGGCATAGTTTACCAAGACAAACATCTTTGCTAAAAACAAGTCCCTTTTTCAGTCATAATGATGATCAATGCTAAGTTTGAGAACTCAAAACATCTTTCACTAATTTCTCTTGATTTCTGCTAGTTCTTTGCTATGCTTATTTTATTAACTTACAAGTTGTTTTATTTCTATAATTTTGCTATTGCTTCTGATTATAGTGCCATTACAAAAATATGAGGGAAAAAAACCTGAAATAATTTTTAAATGAGAATGAAGATTTTTATGTCATCACACCATGACTTACCACTTCATTGTTAAGATTTTTCTGTGTATGGGGTTGTGACTTTTTAGAAATTATTTCGAGTTCATTTTTATCTCAGCTAGTTTTTTTCAATCAAGATATTATAGATATCACTCCATGCTAATATATTTATATTTATTTCATAATTTTAGTAATTGGATAGTATTCCATTGTATAGGCATGCCATATTTTATTTAATTTTTCACTGAAAACAGACTTAAGGGCTAGGTACATGGTAGAATGCTTACCTAGCATGAGTGAGTCCCTGGCTTTAATCCCCAATACCACAAAAAAAGATTTTAAAAACAACAACCAAAAAGCAGAAGGGAGAAGGAGATTAACATCTTGAAAAGTCTTTTAAACAATACTTGGGCTAATACCCCCGAATATTATTTCCTTAACTGGGCATGGAGGTATATGGCTGATTCCAGCACTTGGGAGGTTGAGAAGGGAGAAAAGACGATCAGAAGTTAGAGTCCACCTAGGCTATGTGATAAGTTCCAAGCGAGCCTGGACTACATGATAAGACTCGGTCTAAAGAAAAATAAATAAATAAATAAATTTGTAATAGAATTAGAGTCAAAGCCTGGGCTTCTGTGAGGCTTTGGCTGTGTGCTGCAAGTGCCCTTGAGAAATGCCTAACACGGAGGTCTGAGTGTCCCCTGCACCCCTGTGTTCATCTGTTTTGCACTACAGTTATATTTAAGGAAGATTTATCCTGGTATGTAAGGCATGGACTTGATTGTAGAGGGTGCGCCTCAGTGACACGTGGGTTCTCCAGCTGTTGCGCCTTGTCATCTGCATGTAGGGAAGCTGGATGGTTTTTGCAGGGAGATTTCACAATAGTAAGAGGAATTGGCCAGATCTGCAAGTGTTTTTAACAACGGTTGTTCTTCCACTCTTGGGGGTAAGCCTCCTTGCTCACCTGGAAAGACCCACCCTTCCAATCTCATCTGATAATTCTCAGGTGAAGTGATGGCTGCTGACCTGACACTCATAAATGCCCGTGTACTCCACACTGTTCCTTTTAGTTCAGTCAAAACATGTGTTCCCTTTTTCCAATCATCACCTTACCTGTGATACCTCTTAGAACACCTCTTCTTTCTCTTTATCAGTCTTCTTCTGCCTTGAAAAATTGAAAGTTAAAAAAGAAATGATGATGAAATTGGAAGGAAAATGACACTGGATGCTATCCAGTCCCTAAATCTGTGGCATTAAGGAAAAGGAGGACACCAGGAGGAGCATCAACTTATCTGTTTCCTTCACCTTGAATTTAGCCAAACTGGTGGTCTTCTCTTCCTGCTCCCACCTATCACCCAGGCTTCATCTGGAACTTCTTCCTTTCTCTCCTGAGTTACTCCCATCCCTGTCCATCACCTTTGTCTAAGAAGGTAAAAGGATCAGGAGCAGGGGTATAGGATAACATGAGTGGAGACAGTCTGAACTGGCAGTGTTGGCAGAAAAAAGACGGGGTTTTGCCCACATGTGGAATAGATCAAAATAAAGCAAGCTGGCTGGGAGGGCATTTGGACCCCTCTGCAAGAAAAGAAATTGCCAAGTAAAATACAAATTCTTGGCAATGAATGCATTCCTGGGATTCTCGCATGGTTGCAGCTCAGTTCTGTTCTTTTCCAGTCACCATCTCCACATCTGTCAGCACGTTTTGTACGGTGTTGGTGATGCTTCTCCTGCTGTGGTGCTTCAGATCAAGGTGAGTGGCGAAGAACCATAGGACCAGATTCTCCTGTCCCATGACTAAAGAGGTATATTCTACTGATTCCTGGGTGCCCTCTCAAAGGAAGAATCCTTTCTGGCTGTGGACTCTCACACTTGGCCACTTCTGTGTCATTCAAAAGGAACATCAGTGCTAACCAGGTCTGAACCAGTCCTAGAAAGCCCTTCTCTTTCCACACAGTTCTCAGACCACTAGTCCAAAATGGGGCAGCAGGAGCCAGGCCAATGATGCGGGGGAACCAATCTGCCAAAAGCAATTTGTGTCGGGCTAGGGGCATGGTTCAAGTGGAAAAGTGCCTGTCTCTCCAGGCACAAGGCCCTCCAAAAGTACTTCCAAAAGCAATTTGTAGCAGCTCATCTTATGACACATTCATGAATAATTCTCGTATGTACTCTTGAACTATGGATATACTTTCTTATAAGTATACCCTCATGTCACTTTAATTCTGTATGTTTAATAATTGAAATTCTGCATTTTCACAATTATGACAAGTTTCTGCCACTTACTGACATTTCAATTTTTGTTTTTTCATTTTTCTAATCCTTAGGCGATTTTTATCACTTTCATTAAAATCTCAAATGGAAATTAGCCTTGATTTTTTATTTCTATTAGTTAGTAGCCAGTTGATGTGGTTGCAAATTCAATATTGATATGGTTGCCCTGGATCCTTCCTTAGCATTATTCTATGAGTGGATATCAGATTTCTTGAAACTAAACTTTCAGTTACTAGCAACAAAATATCAAATATTATGTCAATTTAAAAATTATGACTGTTTGAGCCTAATTTTGACAAAATGAACATTTCATGAAATGATACTATAAAGCCAAATGCATAAACAGACACCTAAACTTCACATAAATCTTCAAAAGCTATTAATACCAGATCAATCAATAAGAAATATCATAAATCTCACAGATACTGAGAAAATAAATATCAAAAGAGGATTTAAATGCTACTTGCATATTTAGGCATTCTAGGATTTCCCAGTCTCTCAGCAACACAGATTGTTGAGGACTAAGGGTTTTATGATTCTTGCAGGCAGGATTGGCTGCTAGTGTGACCTACTTGGTGCTGGGCATACATGTTAAACAGGAAGTATCTGTCACAGGCATGGTGGCCTGTAATCCCAGCACCGAGGCATGTGGATCTCAAATTCAAAGCCAGCCTGAATTACATAGTAAGTTTGAGGCCAGTCTGGGATATATAGCAAAACCCTATCTCAAGACAAAAAAAAAAAAGTATCTGTTGACTTGAGAGCAATCCTCTTTCTTTTTGAAATCTGTGAATCACCTGTTTTTCAGGCAAACTTCCCAACCACCTGCTGTTGAAGTGGAACGTATGGAAGTAATGCCAATGACCCCAGGGACCAGCAGTAGAGAGGAAGAAGACACGGGAATTTACCCACACAGCCCCTGAAACTTGGGGAAACCATCCAGTTAGGCCTTGTGTGAAGGAGCCAGCTCTGCTTTCCTAAAAGAGAACCTGGAAGAGACACAAGGAGCTGGGCACCAGGAAAAAGCCAGAATAGTCAAAGGTCCCTGGTGTGATCTTATCAACTGTGTCCAGGCACCTCCCCATATGGACACTGCCCACCTGGAAAACCTCAGTACAGAAGCCAGCTTCCCAAAGTGTGAGCAGCTGAAGCTCTCCTAGGAGAGGCTGAAGGCCTCCAAAAATACCTCTGACTTCACTCTGACATTTTTCAGGACCACTTATCCACTTGCCTGTCTGTTCCATCCATCATGCTGACTTGCAGTATACAGAGATCAAGAATATACCTGAGGTCCACCAGTTCATTCCAAGGATCCTCCTAGCATGAAAGATGTCTACAGGGAAGACATTGGCATTTGAAATCCTAGAAACTGTCTCCAGTGCTCTGTGCCTATCGAAAGGGAGCCAAGAAAGACAGAAGAGATACTGAGCCAATGAGTCCTCTTAATTTAAGTATTCAGAAAGAAGCAAACTGAACTCAGTGACATTTTACATATATATGCATTTATATTTATACTTCCTTATCTGTTATATCTACATATTGCATGTGATTTATATTTTGAAAGTGCCTTGTATAAATAAAATATCTATTTTTCAATACAAAAAATTCACTAAAAGAATCACCAAGGAGAAATGGTCTCTAAAGGAAAAAGATGAGAGTGGTAATGCAGAGTCCAAAATGATTGAGCTAAGATTTTCTTTCTAAAAGGAACTCATACCTAGAGCTGACACAGAACACAATTTGGGGAATTTCTAACAGTTTCCACGTAAGAAGAAGTAACATGATCTAATTAAAACAGTGGCAAATTTGGGCCCAGCTACACATGTTCTCTCTTTTCTTTCCCTGTGTTCTTTCTATTTTTCTTTCTTTGCTATTTATAACATTTATTTCTAAAACCATAGGCCAAATCCTGACTCCTCATTCATTCATTGCATGAATGAATACTTACTAGATGATCTTGGGGTCAATGCCTGCTAAGTACTGAGAAAAGCCAATTATCAAAATTTTTATTTTGGAATAGAAAAAGTACGCAGAACTCCAAAGTACTTGAAAGTTCTTCAGCTACTAAGCCTTCAGCCCAATGTCTTTAGCTGGCTACAAATCTAAATAATTCACATTTCCCTCTTCCCACATTTCCTATCCTCCACAATGTTTGCCATGAAGAATGTAATCACTCTTTATATTTTTTCTATTTTGTCTTGATTTTTTCTTGGTTACAAAATAAGACTCTTTCCAAACCTTCTAGACATTAGGAAGTAGGAGAAAAGGAGCCCAAGAGACATATTGAAGGACCTCTTCGTGTGTCCAATTGCCCACTCAAAAAAAAGTAACTTAGAATCTTGAGTCTACTTGTTTGTTTTCCCACAAGCCTGTGCTCCTTTGAGGCATGAGTGGCTCAGTTCAAACCCTAGCATCCCCAATACCTCACACTGCCTGGCACATGTCAGAATTCAATGTGCAAATGTTCTTCTAGAATTTATACATACAAGGCACTGTATATATGAGGGAATCCTCTTACTCTTTTGTCCCCTAAGTACCTGACTATAAGTCTACACAGGCTATTTTTGTTATTCTTAGCTAGCCAGAATGTAACAGCCTTTCCTCTCCACTTTTGAGGATCCTTCAGTGTTGGAAAGCCTTACCACCCACTAATACAAAGGGCCTAACATCACTACTCCTTGATCCCACTAGAGTGTGGGCACCTGGCCTGGGTTGGCCCATCAGATCTTCCTGCCTGGTACTCAGAGCTGTTGAACACAGAATGAATAGCATAGAAGTGGTTGTTCTGCTTTCTACTCTTAGCTTTGTAGATCTCTTTGGTTCTTATCCATTTTGAAAAATAGATCCTCCAACTTCTTGTCAATCAACAATCCCTTGGTATTCTTCCAATATGTTTTCTTTTTTTCCTCTTAATAGATTTCATTTTTATTATTTGTCACTGAAAGTTCCTAATTGATAGGAATTTGGTACCAGAAGAGAGTATTGCAAATTACAGAGAAATAGGGAAATAGAGAAGATATGTGATTGCTTATCTGCCATGTGGAGAGAAAGGAGTGTTCTAAGGAGGGAACTCAGCAGCCCACACACATGGTCAATTAGTTCACCAGAAGCTACCTGGAATGGCATGCCAATTGAAGACCTGGCTCTGGGAGACTGCATTATTTCCATCCTTCACAGGTTGGTGGCTACTTTTCTTTCTTTATTTTTGGGGGGGCAGGGTGGTTTGTACTGGGGTTTGAACTCTGGGCCTCAGGCTTGTGAAACAGGAGCTCTACCACTTGAGCCACTTTACCAATGGTGGCTACTTTTAATGGCACCAAAAACCCTAGAAATGAGGATAATAAGCTTGAGTCTCTAAAGTTTCAATTCAAACCAAAGACTGAAACTTAAAGGATTCCTAGAACCAAGCTGAACTTCATCCCTTAGAGATAGAAAGCCAAGATATCTGAAAACCCAGCTCAAGAACCTAGGCCTCTGATCTAGTGAGTGACATTAGATGAATTAGCAGTCCCACCAGGTTTTCTAACTTGAAGGTCAAGCATTCACTGGACAAGGCCATGGCCCCAGTGTTGGAAAAAAGATAGAGGGGAAATGTGGAGGACTTATGAATATCCTTAACCCACTCTCCCTTTCCCTCCCTGTCCTCCAAACAGCCCTGGTTTTGTCTGAAAACACTGTCACATTTTTCCTTGGTTGGAACTGTTCTACAAGTGGACATCTGTTCTCCAGATGACCCCTCCCCTGGCTCCTGGTCTACAGGGTAAGGAAGTTCCCTGAGTATGCCTATGGATCCTCAGGATCGCAGAGAGCAGCCTATGCAGTTAGTGCTGGATATTGAGAAACACTAAAACAATGCAAACATGGCTAACTTTGATAAAAGAGCCAGAGAAAAACAACATACGTGGTTGGCTGCCCAGCCCCAGTGTCTTTCCCAACAGTGCTCAATAATAACATCCCCCATCCCCCTTCACAGTCATCTTTTCTAATGCCCATCCCCCTCCAACATCCCTTTCCCACCACAGGATGCTTAAAACCCCAGCCTGCAGGAGAGGCCCATCCATCAGTGCTGCTCTGATGGCGAGGGTCCCTCTCAGGTCTCCTCTCCCTAATAAAGACCTGCTGTTTGCAAGGGTCGCAGATTCTTTCTCAGTCTCTCTCTCTCTCTCTCTCTCTCTCTCTCCTTCATTTTCCTTTCAGTTAGGACAACCATTCCCCAAAGGCAGTCCAGTCCAGAACTCCTCCCATGTGCCTCCACTCTTATTTCCAGCTGCTTCTCAGGGATGGTCCTACTGCCTCCTCATGGATCAGTGCACTGCTAATATTCAACCCATCTGGCATTGCTTCACCATCCTCTCTACATCCATCTTAATGTTTGAGTGTCTGCTCGAATTTCCTCTTTTTCAGGGAGCCTTCATTAACTACTCAGATGTAACATACCATCTGCCTCTGACCTCTTGTAACATATATTCTGTGCTCTAATAATGTGATCATTGCTAATTATTGCCTTTGTAACTATGGAAAGAACATGACTTAGAAGACCTGAGTGTCAAGCACTCATTCTGTCTTCTGGTCTTGTCACTTGGAGGAGTCACTTGAGATATATTGACTGGCACTGCCTTGTCTTTAAAGTGGGGGTGATAGCCTGTTGTATTGCCCTTTGCATAAAGGTCTGGTGTCACATTTGAGCGCTTCGAGAAGCTTCCAGCCTCATAAAAAAGGGAAAACATCAAAACAAACATAATATAGCAAAAACCTTACACCACAAATTAGAAGACAGTAAATACCATATGAGTTGTGAACACTGTAATGTCACACAAGTTCAGTAAAGGTAGAAACCACTAAGAGTTCTGAATATTTGAGGAGCACTTCAGAGTCAGGACATGTGTTAAAAGCCTGGTGGGAATTGAAATAAATGTTAAGGAACATTCCAAATGGGGGACAATGAACAGGAAAGCAAGTGTCAGGTTCAGGAAAGAAAGAGCAAAGCAGTTGGGCAGATGTGCGATAAGAATAGGGGAGAAGTAGACTGTCAGACATCATAATTCCTGTAAGACCCAAGTGAGCAGTTCTAGGATTGCTCAATAACTGTTAAATAAAACTGAAACAAAAACAGCCCTAAAGAGCAAAGTTGTGCAAGAACTGAGTCCAATCAGTCTGGGATCTCAGTGCTCTGTCTCTGGCTCCACCCAGCTGTTCCCCTGTTAGTCCCCATCACCTTGAATTGGGTGGTTCTCTTCCTAGGCTGTTCTTCACTTCTCTGGGCAAAAAGTCAAAAGCACTAATTATAAAACAAGCATGAATTCTTCAAAACACCCTTTTAAATAACTTTGTCCCAGTGGGAACTCAAGTTGCTCCAGGACAAAGTGGCCTAGGGCCAGCTGGGCTGTACATGGATTTCATGCACATTTTCAAAATATGATCTCTCTTTCTCTCTCATTCATTAATAGTTCAAGGGATTTCATGTGAAAATTCCATATATGCATGCAGTGTAGTTTGATCAACTTGTGATCTCTTTTTTAAAGAGTTCTAATTCCAACTCTTCACATGGTAGTAGTGGAAACACCATAGTTGGGAGTTGGAAATTGAATTTCCATCCACGCTCTACTCTGTGTGATACTGAATAGTGGTCCTGATCCAATTCCTCTGTTTAGCCTGCTTCATCCTCTGCAAAAGGAATCTATCATCCTCTGCTTGCCAGGTGGCAGGAAGGACTTAGTGAAATACTGAACAGAAAGGCCTGAGTCTACTGGGTGGGATCAGTTAATGTTGACTCCATTTCCTCATGAGATCTGTTTTTATACTGGATAATCAGACACCAGTCACTACCTACACTGCCCCTTCCTTCTTGAATGAATTCCCACTTTCTTAGGATTTGTTCTTTCACACAGCCATGTGCATCAAAGGGGGCTCACCTCATACCAAACTCTAGGAAAGTTCTAATTATTTTAAGTTATTTAGCCTTGCTAGTGACTAGTTTAGGAAAGGGCAGGTGACCCAATTCTGACTGAGATATGTGGTCAGCTGGAAGTTTTCTTGGAAAGCTTTCTGTGCTACTGTAGAGGCACAGAAAGCAAGCTAACCCCTTTTCTGATACTGTCATGTCAGAATAGCATGCCTAAAGTATTGTAGACAGCTGATTGTAAAGGAAGTCAGCTGGGGCAAAGCCGACACTAAAGATGACAGAAGAGAAAAAGGGCCTGGGTTCTTACCACTGATGCTAAGCACCTGAGATGAGCACCTCTGCTGCTCACCCTCCTCTTCCTCCTGGAGGAAATCATCACATTTTCTTGTACTTTGGAGTTAATCACAACACAAAATATCCCACTGCTGGTGGGAATGCAAACTAGTACAACCACTCTGGAAAAATATTTGGAGGCTTCTTAAAAATCTAAACATGGATCTGCCATATCATCCAGCAATCTCACTCCTGGGGATATACCCAAAAGACTGTGACACAGGTTACTCCAGAGGCACCTGCACACCCATGTTTATTGCGGCACTATTCACAATAGCCAAGTTATGGAAACAGCCAAGATGCCCCACTACCAACAAATGGATCAAGAAAATGTGGTACTTGTACACAATGGAATTTTACTCAGCCATGAAGAAGAATGAAATCTTATCATTTTGCAGGTAAATGGATGGAACTGGAGAACATCA